CTTAGCAAGATGGTTAAACTCCATAAAGTGATTGGAGTAAATAATGTGCTGAATGCTGGCCTTCATTTTTATAAAGTGGATCAACATGTTTTTAATGTTAAAATTGTTAAGCAGGAGCTTGTTCATTGAATACTAGTGGTTAAACTTCATGCACTGCATGCACAAATGGATATTATTCTGATACTAATTAGGTATGTTAAAGTTGTGTTAACAATTGTTTGTAATGTACAGGACCTGCCATTGGAGATTGCTCTAATTGTTTACCTGGATATTTTAAGAATGGTTCTACTTGTTCAGCTTGTACTTCTGATAGTTCCAATTCAACAACTTGTTTAGTTTGTTAAGATGCATCAAATTGTACTACTTGTATCAATGGTTACTATAATTCCAATGGCTAATGCTTAGCTTGTCAATATGGATGCAGTTAGTGTATAGCTCCTGGAAATGTATGTCAAGCCTGTATTACTGGATATTATCTTTAAAATGGAGGTTGTGTTCAAGATGATGCAAATTGCTTATCAACTGATAACAATAAAATTCTTTCATCACTTTAACAAACATAAAGTAATGGTTGTCAAATTTGTAATTATGGTTTCTATTTAACCAGTGGATGGCTTACTTAATCAGCATCCTCATAAATTCAAAACAATGTTTGTATGCAATGTGTTTATCCTCAAAATGCTGTATATTTATCCATTTATTTCTTTAGTTTGTTTGTAGAGCCAATCCTGTCAATCTTTCAGTCTCTCCAGTCTCAACTACAACTGTGACAGCCCCAAACAATACTCCATACTTCTCCAAAGGTGCAATTTAACCTAATATCTAAAACTTTTCATTACTCACACCTAGATATACCTCACCTACATGTAATTCTGGATATTTCTGGACTAATCAAAGTTGTATGCCTTGCATGTCTATTATCAATGGATTATGTACATCTTGTAGCAATCTTAACTCATGTTCCTCAATCACTTGTAATACTAACTTCTTCCTCATTACTTTGAATAACAATTAAATGTGCGCTCCTATGCCTACTGGATGCAGTGAACTTAATTACTCAACCACACTTCTAGCACTCTCCTGCACTAAATGCGATTCTGGATACACACTTGTTGGTAATATCTGTATTGCTATTAATGGATGTTAAACTATTAATCCAAGCAATGGAATCTGTACATAATGTTAAGAAGGTTTTTACTTCAATTGGGACTTTTATTGGTCTTCATCTGCTTTAACTGCACCAAAAACCAACGCCAATTATTACACAACCTTTAATAAATTCTGCTCAGCTTGTACTGCAGGTTGCTAAATTTGTCCATCTTTGTACACTTGCACTTAATGTTTACCAGGCTATTTCTGGTATTAATCTACTATTATTGATCGTTCGAAAACAACCTTTGTTACTTACAGTTCTAGTTCAAATACTAATTATTATGGACAATGTGTGAAATGTCCTAAATATTGTTAGACTTGTACAACTACAAATACTTGTTCAGCTTGTTATCCTAATTTCACCCTTGATCCAAACTCAACTGTTGGTGACTGTATATGTCCAGCTGGATATAATTTAGTAGCTACTGGTTCCACACCTACATGTACACAATAAGGAGCAGTAATTTAACCATGTCAAATAACTGCTTGTTCTTAATGTAGTTCAGATAATACATAATGCTTAACTTGTTTACCATAATATTTAGGAAAATCTTACACATTATAAGGTTCAACTTGTGTAACTTGTTCATAAAATTGCAGTTAATGCACATTAATGTCTGGTAGTACAAGTTAAACTACCTGTACAGTTTGTTAGAATGGTTATTATATGACTTAAAGTTCAAATGATTAACCAGTTTTATGCACAATATGTTCATAGCCAGGTGCATTATTATGTTAAGGTCCTTTGGAAAATGCAACATTTACATAAGTAACAGTAATTTAATGTCAAAACAATTATTATTTGTATAATGGTGTATGCGTAAGTGTTCCAAATTTACCAACTTGCTATACAATTTCATCATCAAGTCCAAGCACTTGCTAATAATGCTTACCAGGCTATACATTATATGGCAATACTTGTTAAACATGTGCAACAAGCAACAATCAATAATGTTTGACATGTAATGCAAATGGTGATAACTCTGGATTATTATGTACTTCTTGTCAACCTGGATTTATAATTGATACTTAAAATAATGTTTGTGTTGCATGTTAGACTGGATGCTTAAAGTGTACTCTAATATCGGCTACAGCATAGAATAATTAAAAGAGTACTTAATGTAGTGGTTGTTCAGATGGAAATTACTTAGACAATACAAGTGGAAACTGTTTTGCATGTCCATTTCGTTGCAAGACTTGTGATTCAAAATATGTAAGCATATTTATAAATAATATAGACGTGCACTACATGTTAGGATGGATACTACATGAAACAATCATAAACAACAATAAATAATAAACAATTAACATTTAAACCATGTTATCCATGTTAAGCAAATTGTGCAACATGCACAGGTCCAAATGGTAATGTTTGTTTGACATGTTCAACTGGATATGTTTTATAAAGCGGTGGTTGCGTCAATTTGTTTGCAACAAGTTTAACTCTATCACCACCAGAGAATCCAAATATATCAAACACTGCTAATTGTTATCAACTTGATCCAGCAAATGGAGGATGTTAAAATTGTTTAGCTGGATTTTATTTAGATTAATAAAAAGTATGCTAAGTATGTGTTTCTCCATACAATAATGTAATTTATGATAATAATAAATTAGTTTGTTTGTGGTCTCAAAGCAGTAAGTCCAACCAACCCAGTAAATCCTCCAGGTCCTGGTCCAACTCCAGGTCCAACTCCTACAAATACAACCATTTAAATTGGTACAAATCCAGTTCCACCAAATTCATATTCAATAATATTGGGAATGCTAATAATCATAGTTTTACAATGAGCATTTTTAAATCATAATAATTATATATATTTAAATCAATTTATGTATATTAAGCTTGCGATCATTTCTATTGTTATTGTTATAGCATTCCCATAAACCACTGGTTAGGATTGTACTTAATTGAGTTGTATAGCTACAGGAGCATTAAAATAAGAATACACATAAAGAGTGCCATACAAGTGTATGGAAGGTATATTATAGAGTTATGTATTTGTATAGGATATTATTGGGCAGGATAATCATGCTAACCTTGTTAACCAATTTAAGGTGGACATTATGCTTGTTCATCTTATTGGGGGACAGGTACATTGTATTGTTTACCAGGATGGACAATCCTAAATGGGTAAATATCATAATATCATCATTAGGGTTTGTGTAAATATGCCCAATGGTTGCTTAACTTATTAATTAAATCAAGAATAGAATGCTTATGTGTGTAGTTCTTGCGATACTGGGTTCACTTTGATTTCAGGACTGTGTGTAGAGAATAAAGGATGCGCTATATACAGTAGCACTCGATATTTATGTACATAATGCGAGTAAGGATATTACTTGAATTGGGATTACATACCAAACATATCAACTGTTATTGAAGATTATTATAATTATTTCGATAGTTTCTGTAGTCCTTGTAGTATTCAAGATTGTGGAAATTGCCCATCAGCGTAAGAATTTGTTTAATATATAGAAACACTTGCACTTAATGTAAAGCAGGATACTTCTGGTCATTTAGTGGATTGAGTTCAGACTCTGTAACATCAGGATCAGGAATATGTTAAAAATGTTTAGATTATTGCTTAAAATGCACAAACAATTCTAATTGTACTTAATGTGCAGATGGTTATTATATTAATACAATTAATGGTCTCACAACATGTTCTTTATGTACTATATCCTCCTATTGCATGAAATGCACCAATGGAATAACTTGTACTTAGTGTTTAAATGGTTATTCTTTGATAAACTAAGCAACCTGTGAAAAACTTTATGAAGGATGTAATTCGATGGATAACAATAAGAATTGTTCATCTTGTTAAAGTAATTATGTAATAAATGCTCAAACTCCTAAAACTTGTACTTAATGTGGATTAGGCTGTAAAACTTGTTAATTAATTAATAATTTAACAAGTTGCACTGCCTGCTAAGAATTCTATTATGCAACTTAAAACTCTAATGGTATAGTAACATGTGTAGAATGCAAATCCTACCCATAATCTACTGGTTGGTTAAGATGTGGAGGTCCATATGACAATCCATCATATACAACAGTTTAAGTGAGTTAATGTTATGATGGTTATTTTCTAGTAAATATAACATCAAACAATATTATTACTCCTACTTGCATAGCTGCAATTCCCGCATCAGCTTGTTTAACACTAACTTCAATATCTACTAATACAAATAATATTTGTGCTACATGTATTCCTAATTTTGATCCTTATATGGATGGAACATGTTTATCTTGTCCTCCTTAAGGAGGATCCAAAATATAACTTTCCAAGTATTGTAATAAATGTGGAGGAACTTCAACTACAAACATTTCTTGTGAGGGATGTACTTAAAAATTTTTCCTTCAAGCTGCTAATTCAGCTAATTCAGCCACTTGTGCTATATGTTCTTCTAGTGGTGGATGTCTTGAATGTGAATCTAATCTAAATTGCATTAAATGTGATATTGGTTTTTATAAAACTGAAAGCTCTAGTAATTCACTATGCTAGCCTTGTCTCAAAAATTGTGCTGTTTGTACTGATTCTAATGTACACAATATTTATGATTTTTTTAGAAATGCTCGACATGTATGGATGGTTATTTTGCTTATAATGGTATATAAACTCCATAGTCATTTTGTGTGGCTTGTTAATTTGGGTGNTAGAGAATAAAGGATGCGCTATATACAGTAGCACTCGATATTTATGTACATAATGCGAGTAAGGATATTACTTGAATTGGGATTACATACCAAACATATCAACTGTTATTGAAGATTATTATAATTATTTCGATAGTTTCTGTAGTCCTTGTAGTATTCAAGATTGTGGAAATTGCCCATCAGCGTAAGAATTTGTTTAATATATAGAAACACTTGCACTTAATGTAAAGCAGGATACTTCTGGTCATTTAGTGGATTGAGTTCAGACTCTGTAACATCAGGATCAGGAATATGTTAAAAATGTTTAGATTATTGCTTAAAATGCACAAACAATTCTAATTGTACTTAATGTGCAGATGGTTATTATATTAATACAATTAATGGTCTCACAACATGTTCTTTATGTACTATATCCTCCTATTGCATGAAATGCACCAATGGAATAACTTGTACTTAGTGTTTAAATGGTTATTCTTTGATAAACTAAGCAACCTGTGAAAAACTTTATGAAGGATGTAATTCGATGGATAACAATAAGAATTGTTCATCTTGTTAAAGTAATTATGTAATAAATGCTCAAACTCCTAAAACTTGTACTTAATGTGGATTAGGCTGTAAAACTTGTTAATTAATTAATAATTTAACAAGTTGCACTGCCTGCTAAGAATTCTATTATGCAACTTAAAACTCTAATGGTATAGTAACATGTGTAGAATGCAAATCCTACCCATAATCTACTGGTTGGTTAAGATGTGGAGGTCCATATGACAATCCATCATATACAACAGTTTAAGTGAGTTAATGTTATGATGGTTATTTTCTAGTAAATATAACATCAAACAATATTATTACTCCTACTTGCATAGCTGCAATTCCCGCATCAGCTTGTTTAACACTAACTTCAATATCTACTAATACAAATAATATTTGTGCTACATGTATTCCTAATTTTGATCCTTATATGGATGGAACATGTTTATCTTGTCCTCCTTAAGGAGGATCCAAAATATAACTTTCCAAGTATTGTAATAAATGTGGAGGAACTTCAACTACAAACATTTCTTGTGAGGGATGTACTTAAAAATTTTTCCTTCAAGCTGCTAATTCAGCTAATTCAGCCACTTGTGCTATATGTTCTTCTAGTGGTGGATGTCTTGAATGTGAATCTAATCTAAATTGCATTAAATGTGATATTGGTTTTTATAAAACTGAAAGCTCTAGTAATTCACTATGCTAGCCTTGTCTCAAAAATTGTGCTGTTTGTACTGATTCTAATGTACACAATATTTATGATTTTTTTAGAAATGCTCGACATGTATGGATGGTTATTTTGCTTATAATGGTATATAAACTCCATAGTCATTTTGTGTGGCTTGTTAATTTGGGTGTGCCACTTGTACAACACCTGGAAATCTCTGTCTGACTTGCATTGATGGTTATATTCTCTAAAGTGGCGGATGTGTTCCTCTTAATCAAGCTAATTGTGCCTATAAACTTAATTCTACTTAAGCAATTCTTCAAACATATAGTTCCAATGGTTGCAGCATTTGCAAATATGGATTTCATATGATTTCTAATCGCTGTTTTTAATCTGTGTAACCTTATGCTGGAGTATCTTTATAATTTATTTTAGTTTGCTTATATGTAAATTAGCCAATAAATTATTGGTAATATTACGCAAACATACCAAATTATTTTGACATCTATGATCATAATTTTGCATTTTATTTTTTGATAATTTATATGAAAATCATTTAAATAAAGTACTATATAAATCAGTAATCTTTAATTCACCGAATTTAAATGTCTTTTATAATAATTAATCACTCCTCATTTTTCTATGCCGAAATGAAGACTATAATTTGTATAAATTTAACGAATCGTTCTACTCAGCAATTATTTTCTTTGGCTCATTATTGTTTTTTAGAGCTTCTCCATATAGAAACTTTAAATCAGTTAATTGGCTCAAAATTATTATAGTTCTTAACTTAATCTATTTCGATTTCACTCTTATTGTGAAATTCTCAGAAGACTACTTGGTGTGAACTCTAGGAGACTAATATTGAATTACACCATGCTCTCATGGAGTAAGTTCTTTTGATTCCTTTGGGGAATTCATTGGATGTGTATGAACTGTTCTTTTAACTATTCTGTCTTCTTTAAAGATTTTATCAATTAATTTCTTATTAAAACTAGACATCTTTCATTCTCTTACTGTTTTTATTAATTTCTTTTCGTCTTATTACTATTCAGGCTCCTAAGCTTCCAAAATTTCAGTCTATTTTTTTATACTCTCATATGGTTTTATTTAGGAAGGATTTAGAATAATCAAAGTTGGAGATTCTAATCCATTAGAATAATTTGCTTTATTTTATTGTAAACAAGTAAAATCTCGACCTACCATCATTGACGATGTCATCAAGTTTTTTGAATTTCCATTATTCCCTCCACTTATTTTAGTGTAATCCCTTTTTATTATTCCTTTTGGAAATAATTTCGAAGGAGCTTGTAGAGTGCTCTAACTCTTTCTTAACCAAGGATGACCCAATACTTGATAAGCTGAATATCTTTCATTTGGATCTGGATGCAACATACATTAAACCAATTCTTTGTATTCTTTACTCAAATTGATATTTGGAAACTAGTATTTTAAATTTAAAATGTTTTATATTGTTTATTCTTATATTGGTCGAGTAAATGGTAATGTACCACAAACAAGAGCAAACAATATGACTCCCATCGCCCAGATATCAATAGATGGTCTGATTGATTAAATTTATCCAGATATCATTTCAGGTGGCATGTAGCTTAAACTTCCCAAATCTATTTTATCAATAATAAAATTTGTTGCCACTGTTGCAATTCCAAAATCTATAATTTTTACTTATTTATCTGTCTTTGAAGTTAATAAAATGTTTTCTAACTTTAAATCTCTATGAACTAACTTTTAATCATGACAATAACAAATTGCATCAGCTATTTATCGAAATATAACTCGAGCTTCTTCTTCTGTAAGTTTACCTTTTTCTAATTATTAATCTACCAGATCTCTTCCTTCTAAAAATTCCATAATTAGAACAACTTGCATGCTAGGTAAAGTATAACAATTTATAATCTTTATCATGTTTTTATGTCTTAAATTTTTCATTACTTCTGCTTCTCGAAAAACCAAGTCTATATCAGCAGCATTCAATCGATAATTTTTATTGTAACCTATTCTTGAGTTAGCTTATATCTACCTAACATTACTTTTCCAAAACCTCTCTCACCCAATGTCTTCATTATCTAATACACACTAAATTACGAATAAGCATCAAAATCCCTAGCTAAAGACTTACTTTATAGAAAATTATTTAAATGCAATCAGAAACATAAAGCAAAGTCCCACCCTTTAGAAACATTAAATCTTCTTCAAAATTTCAACTCCCTGTTATGTAAACAATCTAAGTCTATCTATTCTATTGAATCGAAATGTTCAGCATTCTTTTTAAAATCTTTCATACTGATCTGATTATTATTAAGCTCATTTTACTAGAGAATATTCCATTGTTATTATTACACTATTCAAATCTCCATTCAGGGTAAGCAGCAATTTTTGTTTCCGATTCTCCTCAAAATAATTATCATAAAGGTCTAACATATTTATAATAATAATAAAAAATTTAAAACATATCAAAAAACCAGTATTTAGAGTATTTTCAGTTAGCCATCTCAAAATTTTCATTTTGTTATTGAATTCTCCTCCTCATAGAGTGAAATATCTATATTTACTAAAATAAATACATTCATACAATCATGATCTTTTAATTTTATTAGTCATATATCTTTTAGATTAATCCTCATTCCTATGTTTACTTTTTGGTATCCAATATTTTATTTCATTTTAAGTAATAATGTCATATTCCTCTATCTTTTAAATTTTATTCTTTTAAAAATTTTTAATTTAGAGTTTTTTTGTTAATTACTTTTATATACAAGCAATGATATTAAAAATTGTAAAGTATCTAAGAAGGTTTTTATATATTATTATAATTTAATCATTTTAATATATTTTATATATTTATTTGTATGTATTTCAATGTGCTTCTTTCTTGCCAGGTAAAAACTTAGCTAAAAATCCATGATCATTACTTTCACCTTCTGGCAATTTGAAGCTCTTCTTAATTTTGTAATAAGGAGGTCCCCAATTCTTTTCCAAATAAATGTCTATGAATGCTTTCTTAAAGTTCTTGCACCAATTATAATATCTAGGTAATTTATGAATTAGTATTTTACCTTAAAGCTGCCAAAAAGCCTCCATTTGAGAAATAAAGATTATGCCATGCATTCTCATTATTATATTTGTGGCACAAGAATGTTAATGTATTTTATCCTAACAAAATTGGTACTTTACTGTAACCATCATATTCTGCATTTAATGATTTACCTGCAATATTTCTTTCTATATTATTTCTAACAACATGAAGTTAATGGAATCCTGCCCAGAAACAATTAGTTGTAGGAACATCATTCACATCACCAAGACCAAATATATTCTTATATTTATTGTGTTATAATGTTTTGATATTAACATCTAATAATCCCTTTTAAGTAGTAAGGCCAGCCTTCACTAATTAATCATGAGGTTTAGTTGGAGCTACTGCATATAAATGATTAAATGGTCTTGTTTATCTGCTACCAGTTTTAACATCTTCAAAAGTTGCTGTGTTTTACTATTTATTAACCTCGACCAATTTCAAACCATATTCAACATTAATGTTTCTACGTTTAATCTCTTCTTTGAAGAATTAATCACCTGAATCATTGTATTAAACAAATCTCTCATTTGGTTAAATAATTGTGAGTCTTTTAATTGGTGATTAACGACCATTTGCTGTTTACCATTCCCAAATGCGTTAACTCAATAAGAAATTATACGACTCTACTTCTCCACTAAATGGGAATTAAGGAATGCAGAAATATGCTTCACCATGATTGAAATTATAATGCCATCTTGTATATTTATGATTAGATGAACGCCAACTTGGATGATCAAGATTTGTAAATACTGGTGAATCAAAATCTTACCAAGCATCTTCAAATCCTTTAATTGAATCATAATTAACTTATTAACCTAACAAAATGTTAACATATATATATAATACCCATAGCTACAACTAATTGACCATAACCAATTCTTCTACCGTTCCTTAAAATTATAGCATTCTCTTCAGGTAATATTGTTTGGCATCCCACTTAATCTGAATGAGCTGTGAACATATTGAGTGACAATTTGGCATTTAATAAGAAATCTGTTTTTGCTGTCTTCTATTATTCATAAATCTATCTAATTGGTGTTATTTAATTGATATTCTAATCCAACACAACCATAGTCTTGTATTTTCCATGTGAAACCTAATATATCATCTAAATATCCTAATACCTTATCAAGCTGTCTGCTCAAAACACCTCCTAAATTGCACCCAATAATTACAACATCATAATGATCAAGATCTTTCTTAGTGGGCTTACGCTTATTAAACACACCTGCAAAATAGCGAGGTGTTAGCGAATGCCTCAATTGCATTCCAGATATTAGCATTTTTAAATTAATTAAATAATATACATTCAACTTTCATATACTCAGGTATTTCGAACACTCATTTTTTAATTAATACATATATTTACAAATAACAAATAAATCTAGAACTATTACTATTCATATGCAAAAATACGCAAAAAAAATAATTATAAACTGAAATATTTAATTCTTTATATGATTTAAGCAATCTCAAATTTTAATTCTAAACTCTTTAAATACTAATTTTATAAACCTTACTTTAATTAGCTCATATTGGAATTACTTTTATTATTATTTAAAAACTAATTTTTACAAACATATCGAGTGATTAATCAATTTATACCCATTTTGATGACATGATAGAAAGTCGAAAATTTGTACTTTATATCTATCTTATAGAATTATATTATTATTTAATCAAAAATAATTTGTACTTTATTTCATAATTTATTTTATATGTCAAGAGCCAACTCTTGCAAAATCCATCCGAAATTTACCATAGAATGGATAAGATTTTACAATCAAAATATTGAATATGGTTGTATCAAATGTTTAAATCAATTATAAAATTGTGTTGGAATTGAATATTTAAAAGATGTATACTGTTTGAATAAAATTAGATTATTGATAATCCAGAAATCATTATACCTAAATTACCGATTGATAAATGGTATATCAATTTTTACTAAAATCTTAATAACTTTTCTGAAACCCAACTAGAGTCTATCTATAAATAATTTGAAACCTCCTTAATTCTTCTAAGTAATTTATTAAATTAATTTATTGAAAATGGAAGAAGTAACTTATAATAATTCATAAAATAATCTAAAGAAGCCAAAGAGTAGTTGAAAAAAGTAATCAATAAATAATATTGTGATAGGAATTCAAAATAAATGAAATTCAAGCTTTAATCAAATAGATTGAAAATCTAGAAAATAAGAATTCTGACGTTTAGGATTAAATAAAGATAGAATTAATTGAAACAATACAAAATATTAATTTAGATTTGAAAAAATAATAAAACAGCAAAATAAACAATATTTTAAAGGAAACCTAATTAGGAATTAATAAGTATTAATATTTAAATAAGTAAGATTTAATTTACATTGCGATAAATAAATTGATTATCTTTTATCTATAATCAAATCAGGAACAACTTAGTTGGATTAATTCTTATAACAATCTTTTGAAGCAATAAAAAGTAATAATGTATCAACTTTTTCCTTAACTTGTCAACAAAGTAATATTTAGAATTTTAATAAATAACAACGTTAGAGATAAATTATTGATTAAAAGCAAATGAATTATGATTAACCAAAGCCTGAGTTACCATAAATAACTTACCCTTACTATTTTTCACATATTTTGCCTCAATATTATTTCAACTACATTTTAAATTATGCTGATATCGAAAAAAAACTCTATTAAAATTAGCAATAGTTTTTTTCATAAAATTTAAATACTAATCAAATGATTTGCTATAGATTTAATCCATAACAAGAATTTATAGTAAAAGGCAACTGTTTCTGGGATTTTAATAATAGTAAGAATAGGTTAATGATTTTTTAATCTAACAATGAAGGAAACCCAATATTTGGGTATTTTTCATCAAGTTGGAAAGAATTTATTTTTTCATTTAATCATAATGAAATTTATCCTAAAAAAGAAAAAAAAGAAGATCTTTAAAAAAATGGATTAATTTATTTAGAATAAAATATATTATAAAACAATAAAAACTTTTCTGTGGGTAGTTTTGATCTTCAAATAAATGCTAATTTGATTGATGGATAATCATTATTGGGTTGTGATTTCTAATGGGATAACTTTGATGCTTAAAAATGTTCTAATTATCTATTTGGGGAAGTGAAGCCAAACATTAAAGAATGTGAAATATTTTATTTTTGAAAATATTTCTGAGCATGTTAAAATTTTTAATTTCTATAAAAACAATAGTTAATATTAAATTAAAATGATATGCTTTTGATTTTTGTTTCTAAAAAAATTAATTCATTTCTAAAATTTAATGAAAATTGCTTGAAACCTTAAATACTATTAGTATCCAAAGAAGGATCTAATCCTATGCAGATTGTCGATTACATAATTAAATTTATCTATACTATTACCTGTTATTCTAATATGACACAATTAATATTTAAGTTGAAAATTATACAAAAGTAGTGAATTTGAATGAAAGTATAAAATCATAATCTTTGATAAATATCCTGATAAATATATTCAAAAAAAAATTTCTGGCCGGGCAAATAAATCAGAATGAAGATTGGACTTTAAAAATAGAATTCAAAATAAAGTAAGCATATAAAAATTCTTAATTATAACTAGATATAAAGAAGTAGAGTTAAGTGAATTATTTATATGAATTTAGAATAGTAGAAAAATTATTTTTAGATTAATTGAGACCTAAATTTTTTATCTGCATTTTATTTAAACTTTCTATAATTTTATTTAAAAAAATCATAATTTTATTTATACAAACTAATATCATAATTATAAATTAATACTATAATAAGTTAATACTTCATTATTTTAGAATTTAATCGAATCTAAAAATTCAAATTAGAGAAGGAAAATTAAAATTTGTAAACACACAATAATTGAAACTTCATCTCTAATTACCAGAAATTCACCAAAAGTTTAAGATAATATAAACTTTAAGGAAATTTTATTGCAGCTTCTATTTTCTATATTTTTATTATTTTTCTTCTTTTGAAATATATAATAAAGAATAATTTAAAACTTTGACTCTTTTCTATGAACTTTAATTATAGAAAGACATTACTGCTATATAAATTGAAATATAAATTTCTTTAAAATTAGCGAATAAACTCTTCAGTTGAATCAACATAAAAATCTTCTCTTTGTTTTTATTGATTTATATGCATGTTGATTAATGCTAGATAAATTGCAAATATTCGATTTATTTGAAATGTTTATTAATTAGTTGGCATATTTTTTTTTTAAAAGACCTTAAAATTTTGTTTGGTTTAATTGCACTCTTTTTTATTTTTCTTGACTCTCTAAGAATAAGATATAGTCTACTTTTTAGTAAAATTTTTTTGTTATTTGTTCATAAAATAAAAAAAGGAAATTTAAATACAGTTTTGATATTGCTAAAATCTTGACAACTTAATCAAAAAACTCATGGTGTTATGAATAGAAATAATGATGAAAATGCTACTTATAATGGCAAAACTACCATTACTCTAGATAATTCTAAAGATATTTAAGAATATAAGCAGTTAAATAAAAAGGCTTGATTGATTAAGTCTGCATGAATCTTTATCAATATTGTTAATTTATGTATAAAGAAAAAAATGACTTATAATATATCAAGCTTTAGCTTTTTAGATTCTTTTGGCTAATGCACATTTATATTTTAAAAGATTTCTATAAGAAAGACTGTCACTTTAAGTTTCAATGACTAAAAAATTTAGTCGTTATGAACTGATCTCTGCCTTCTTAACTGTTTATGCTTCTTCAGATATTCCTATTTCATCATTCCATATTGTAATTGATCCATCTTTATTGCAATTTGAATTCATTTGTTTGGTTTATTGACAAAAAAGGTTTGAGTTAGGAAAATTTTATTAAATAAATAAATAAAAAGAGATTTAAAAATCAATCAATTTAAATAGGAATATATTGAAAATTGAAAAAACCAAAAAAAGATTGATGGCATAAAAGAAAATCAAATGATGTTTGTAAAAACTAATGAATATTTTCAACGAATGTTAACCACGAGAAATAATTAAAACGGATTTATAAAATTAAAAAAATATCCCGCTAATTGTTCTTTTAAAAAAGTATGCATAATTTAAAAAATGTGTTCATAAAATATCAAAGAAACTTGAACTATATGAATGAAATTATTACATATATGTTTCCATATTTAACTAATTAATCAAAATTTAGATTGACTTAAGAAATTTGGAATTGTTGAGAAAATAATAAAATAATCAATATCAAAATTCAGCCCCGCAAAATAAGCATAACAAATCCGAATGAGGGTGTCCTTTTGTAATGATATCTTTTAAGCAATGAAAATCTATTTCTTTATCATATGGGATATTAACAGAGTCAAAAATTACTCTAGTAAAAATTCTGATATATCATTTAGAAATTGAAATCTTATGTTTTGACTATCTTACTCGTAGTTTAAAGACTTAATTTTTAAACTTCAGGATAAGAGAGTTTATCATTTCTATCCATATCATATCTGCTATTTTTATAAATAAATCAATCCGTTCTTCTTTTGTTTTAGCCTAAACTGAACTCATCAAAAATAAAAATTTTGCCAATCCAAAAATCCAGAACATCTCGAATCTATTATTTTAAATATTCCTTTGGCCATATATACAAATTATTCTTATATGTTTTCAATTTCTTATCTATAAAACTCATATGAGATTCCTTTAGTTAACTTGCTTTTGTTTTTTTTTTATGTTATAGCAGTTAATAATTGAAGTACTTTAAAAAATGAATAAAAAACATACAATTAAGCTCGATTTAGCTTTATTTTGTTTAAATTTCAGGTATATTCATTTCAGTAAGCAAAGGAATGCTTTCCAACCAATTTTATTCATCAGAAAAGTGATTTCTCGGTTAAAATTTATTTTTCAATTATTCCTTTTCTAAAATTAATTATAAAGGATGACTTATTCTTTATGAAAAAGTCTTAGACTCAAATGCTCTGCTTTTTGGAGTAGGATATTAAATTTGATCATAAAATTTAATTATTTTTTCAACATCATCCGTTTTTTAAGATAATTAACTATGCATATTTTCAATATATGTTTGTAATCCCTCATTACATTTTTACATGTTTTCAATAAAGTATTTCTCTTGTTTATTCATTTTAATTCTGCTTGTAAAGATAAAGCTTAATTTCTAGCTTTTTGATGAAAGAAAGGGTCTCGAAGATTAAACACTTGCAGTTCTTGTGTAATTATCATAAACTGATTGTAAATTTCTCATTTCTTTTGTTAAAAATATGCCTCTATGTGTTGTTGAAGGTGATTTTGGTACCTCCTAATGAACAGATATGAGAGAAAGACAGGAGTTTAGTTTTCCAATAGGTAGTTATAGTAATTTATCATTAGAATGATAGCTTTGAGCTGCTCCTTATCAATTTTATTAATTTATTTTAAATAGTGATCGAATGGTCTAACAAATAACCAAAATAAATTCGATCTTGTACTGAATAGATATGATTTAAATGACTTTGAATAGTATTTTATTTAGTTGCCATATATATCATAAAAAAAATATTCTTATTTAAGATTTCCCTTTATTTTAGAAATTCATGTAATACTTTTTTTATAAGTGAATCTATTTTATATTTGTTCAATTCTTTAAGATTAATTTAAATGTTTAAAGAAGTGATTTTCTAATTTGTTAAAATGTCATCAACATATATTGCTAAAATCTTTTCTTTTTAAATAGGGATTTCTCAAAACCCGATTTTGATTATCTCTATTGAATCTTTTAATTTCCTGCGATCATTAAACGTGCCATTATTAATATTTTATATTTATAAATTAGCATCAACAGAGTACCAGGAATCGAAATAAATAAAATTTGTTATGAGCAATTTATTTTTTATTTAATTAACAAATGTGTGTAAATGATTATATATTAATAAAAATATTAATTATTTCATTGGTTTTCCATCTATGGATCTTCATTGGTCTACCAACCTGTTAAATCAGCCATAGACTGAAAATGATTTTGGTTTTATTTTTAATCAAAAAAATTAGTCAACAATTGCTTTCTTTTCATTCTTGCAAAAGGATACCATGGTTTAGTTTATTTTTGAGATGACTAAACTTATGCACCCTTTTTTAACAAATATTAATGTTTAATTTAAATTTGATGTTAATCCAAATGTAAACAATTTCTTTTAAACTTAGAACTTTCAAGAATGGAATGCTTATTACTCGAGACAATTCTATGAGAATGAATAATCACAGGTTAACACAATTAACTCATAAGAATCTTGTTGTCTTATAGCTGAATTACTAATTACTAAGGCTCCTTTGTAGTTTCTTACCCTAACTATTTAACCTACTTACGATTCTTCTTGATTAATTTTATGACATAGGTTTTGGAGTTTGAGGTAGATTTAACTATTTGCTTTGTATCATTCTTATATTAGATCTCATTTATTTATTTAACATGTTTTCCATATATAAACAATCTACTGAAGAATTTGCCTTGTATTTTTTCATAAATATATAAATTTATATTATTTATTATATACAAAATAAATATCATGGGAGCTTGTTCAAGTAATTCTTCTACGCCTGAAGCAATTAAACTAAATATATTCCTCTAATCTCTTCTTAATCATAATAATGATAAGTAATTTACTTCTCCTATTGGTTCAATTAAGGATTAACCTTAATTATAAGTTGAAAATTTCAATTTATAGATATGGAATCAATTTGAAGCCTTAAGATATGTCAGAGATGATTAAAATTAGTTTTATAACATTTTTGTTTTCTTTGCATTAAAATAGATTGTTGAGAATAATGATTAGGATTTGTTATAAAAAATTTGCACAGCATCCGAATCAATAGAGTGGTAGTTATATTTAAAAGGAAAATAAATTCTAAAAAACTAAAAGTACTTGAAAAATAAGTTTTTAATTCTAATAAAAAAGGTATTCAAAGAGAAACTTTTTGAATTATATTATTCTAATATGCAAAATAATTTTAACTTCTTTGTTTTATGCATAATTTTTATGCGTAACTGGATTTTTAGTATTGCAAAAATTAATTAGGATAAGATAAAAAATTAAAATGAAAAGATAAAAATTTTGGATTGGGATGTCCAATTCGATTTAGCAGATTCAACATTAATAAAAGATGTAGTTGAAAATATGAATATGTAATAGTTATTTATATTAATAGCCAACTAAACATATTTGATGTGGAAACTTAATCATTTGTGAAGTTTGGAACAGCAAAAAGAGAAAATTTTATAATTAAAGGATAAAGTGAGCTTTATATTGGTCTTCCTAAGGGTTTTTTCTAGAAAAGTGGACCTTCTGCCATTATTTATCAATTATATAAGTAAACAAATTAGGCTAGAAATGTAGCTGTTGAATAATAGAAATTTGTTAGTGAAGATTTGAATTAATAAGAGTTAATTTATGAGTATTAAATGAATCAAGCCATGTTTTCATAAATTAAGTTAAGAGGGTTTAAAAGAGTGAGAGGAGATGGAAATTGTTTTTATACTGCCTTTGTTTATTAATATCTATTAATAGTACTAACAAAATTTGAAGATTCACAATTTCAATAGTTTTTAGAAATTTTATAAAAAATTGATTTTAATCTTCTTCATGAGACAATTTCACACTTTCCAAATGAAATTAGAAAAGATTTAAAACAAATATTTCTCAGTTTTATTTATGAAATTCTTGGAAAGAAAAATTAGATATAATCATTTGAAAATGAGTTTAAAAATACAAAAAGTATATTTTATGCCTTATCTATTATATATGCAAAAAATCTAATTCAATATTATTTGGAAAATAAGTAAATCAATTTTTTGAGTATTTAGTTCTGAGTATAAAGTTCTTTTGGGTGAAGAAGCAGAGCAATAAATTTAATAATGGGAACTGGAAACAGATAATATTTAAGTGTTATTAGTTATTTTAGCAAATTGTTTAAATCTTAATTTGCACTTCTATTTTATAGATTCGGATAATAAGCAGCTTGATCTACAAAAATATTAAAAAGATTAAGATAACTTATCATTACCTAGATAGGATATTTATTTACTATTTAGTCCTGGGCATTATTGTATTGGTTTACCTTTAGAAAATTTAAAATGAATTAAAGCTATTCTATTTGTTTTTGTTTATTAACTTTTTTATATGTAAAGTTGTTATAAATAATTAGAAAAAATGTTTTTAACTCCTGTTTAAATATTTCGCAAAGTCTTCTCTAAACAATCTGACTCCAATATAAAAATAAACGATGAAATTTGTGAGAATGAATACAAAGAAAAAATAAAAGAATTATTATTGATCTTTGAAAACTAATCAAATAAAAAGGATTTAAATGTTATCCAATAAATCTATAATGAGGCTTATAAAAATTAATTTATTGATGAAGGATAGAAAAGATTTGTAAAAAGTATAAAAAGTAATACAGAACTTTATAATTATTATTCTATCAGATAAATAAAAGAGAAACATAAATTATTAAAACTCTGTAATAAATATAGAGAAGTTAGAGGTGATGGTAATTGTTTCTATACTGCTTTGGGCTTTAGATTTTTATAAATACTCTTGTCTGAATAAAACTATTAACAATTTATAGAATTTTTGGGAAAAATAGAATTAATAGATTTACCATTTAATTTAAATTGCAAAAATGTTAAAATTGCACGTGAAATCCAGAAAAGCTTGAGAAGTGAATTTTTATTAAGATTATGTAAAATAAGACTGATAGAAACAAAGGAGGAAAGACTTAAAAGTTTATAAAAATAATATAAGTCAAATGAATGTAGTGATGATATTGATGGTTACTTTTTTGGTTTGACAACAATTTTTTTTCGTAATGTTTCATATCATGTGGGTTAAAAAAGTGAATTAGCTGCTCATATATATGATATGGAAAATCTATTAATTTGGGGTGAAGAATGTAATAATAATGAGATAATTATTAAAGAACTCTCATAGTTCCTGAGAGTGTAATAAATTAAATTTAAATATTAGAATGATAGTGTTAGTTTTCATAGATAAAGGGAATGTGAAAAGTGATGAATATTCTAGTGAGCTTCATTACCATTAAATATTTTTACTATTTTAACCTGGTCATTACAATATTGGAATTGAATGAAATAAAGATATATAAATATATCAAGAAAACTTAGATTTATGATGTCCTTTAATTAGTTTGGTTTTGAAAGCATTTTTGCTTGAATATACACCTGATGATAATTATTATTGTTTGAATTCTTGAAGGTCTGTAAGTATATTATAATTATCTTCTTCTTCTTCATCATAATCTTATTCTTAGTATACATCTTTAAATTCAGAATCATCCATCCTTTTTTGATCTTGATCATTTTAATTTTAAGTATTTTAGTATGAAAATTATTTTGATTTAAATTATTCATAAGTCTTAAGAGCATTTTTTGCTCTACTTAAAGCTTTTTCTTTTTTATCTTCTTTTTCTGCTTGTATTTATTATTATTATAATTCTTTTTATTGTTTACTCCCATACAATCGATCTAAGAGTTATTGTTTAGAAGAGCTTATTTATCCTTCATTTTTTTCTATTTTTGTAGGAATAATAGTATCTTTAAGTTCTTCCAATAATTCATTAGCTTCTTATTCTGCAGCTTCAGATCTAGATTTTTCATCTATTCTATAACCCCAATTAGCATCATGACCTAAAATCAAAGCTCCTATTTTTGAGATTTACCCATTTTTAAATGACCATAAATAACAACAACAATCAAATGAAGATGTTGCAAAATGAAATCCATCTTTACAAACTTCTATATATGTGATACCATCTTAATGAGCTTTTCTTTAATATCCTATCTCCTTAATATCACTTAAAACAAATATCTATTTTGATATACTATAATTAATACCTAAGCAATATCTTCTTATCCATAATCCATGGCTGTTACAAAGGTATCAGCATCATTATTCTTTCTTGTCTTAATCTTTTATTCCACCTAATGAAGATCTACTTTATCCAAGACTAATTTAATATTCCAAATCTTCAAATTCCCTAACTCATCCCCCAAATATAATAAATTATCATGATAGTTAATAGAAGTGACAGGAAACTATAAGTATATGTATAAAATTTACTGTTTCTTCTTAATTAGTTAAAGATATAGCTTTATAGGTTTTGGACAACAACAATTTTGATTTAAATTTGCTTTCTAGAACTCCTATAAAATAAACATTTCCAATCGAATCTACACTTATGATACAGTTATGCGATTCCAAAAACATAACCTTCTTTAATTCATACTAACACTTCCAAACTAATTCTTATCTATAAGAAACTAAATCAATAATAAAAATGGCTCCATCATCTGCACAACTCACTAGATGTTCACTTTCTTATTTCACATGTAATGAATTAACACTTAAATGGTGCTATTTCATTTTATATCTACAAGATTTATGAGCATCTTGAGAATCTTCATCATGAATATTTACAGTATCTTCTCGACTACAACTGATAACTCTCCTATTTGTATCATTACTCCAATGTGCTAAATCAGTAATCATTTTATGATGTCTTTCAAATTTTTTCATTTTAGCTCCATTTTTAATATTTACTGTGAAAATTCTACCTTCAGCATCTCCTATAAATAGTTTTCTTTGTCTTGCATCAATAATCATTGTTGTTAATTCAGCAACACTTAATTCTCTATAAACTTATTACAATTTTCCAGTTCTAGCATCCCAAGTTTTTACACTATCAGGATGAAGAGTAATAAAACAAGTTAAAGTTTAATTATATAAGACTTTTAAACACATTTTTTCATCAGTAAGCATCTAATCCTTGGGTTCATCATATTCATAAAAGAACATTTTTCTGGCACCAACAACAATCTGTTTTTTTGGATATGTTAATGTAAAAGCTTAGATTTCATCAGCAGGAACATTAAATGTTTAAATTTAAAGAAAATTTCTGACATCCCATACTTTAACCATCCCTGAAATATCAGCAGTAACAACTTGTGATGTTCTAGGCAAACATTTAACACCAACAAGCGGATGATTATGCCCTCTTAATAAAAAAATCTTTTCTTTTACATAAGTATTCCAAACAAATGCCTCATGATCTAATCCAGCACTAATCAAACATTAATTCATAGGACTCCAATCACTCCAATCTAAACTATAAACACCTTTTTCATGTCCTCTTAATTCCTTTTTAGGTTAATGTGTAGCACTATCCCATAAACAAATGTTTCCATCTAAACCTCCTGTAACCAAAGTATTTTACTGATCTATTGCCAAAATATCACCAATTGGTGATGAATGACCATATTATTATGAATCTCTCTTTATAAATGGATTCCAACCAGATAAAGTTCCTCTTTCCTTTAAATCATATGTATCATAAATATGAATTATTGAGTCTGATCCTCCTGTATATAAAAAATTAGATTAAGATGAACTCCATCTTGCATATCTCATACATAATTATATTTCTGGTACTGACAGTATTTATTTTAAGTTAAAACTACTAGAGTCCCAAAAATTTATTGTCAAATCATTACTACTACTTGCAATTAAATTTTAATCAGGAATAAATTCAGCTGATAATACATATCCTTTATGAGCATTTACATTCCAAATCAATTCACTTGTATTTGAATTATATACCTTAAACTTTGGAGATTCCTTCTCTAATACTAAAAGCATTTTCAATCTGTCAAAAAAATATACTCTATCTATCACTGTTTCATGTTTTTATTCATCTTTTATATTTTCTGCTGGATGATAACTTTTTATTACATCTTTAAATGATCTGTCATTTCTCAATAATCCCAATTCAATTATGTGATTACTAAATTCTACCCATTCCATTGTACCATCACCATTTACATCTATTTCTTTGAATAATTCTATTAATGCTAATGTTATTTTCTTTGTCTCCTCTTTTGAATCCTTATTATAATCTAAATGCTCTAACATCACTTTCAGAAACTGTTAGATTGTCAATCCTTAACCTTTTGAATTTTTATCAGGAAAGCATCTTTCAATTACTGCCATTTTCTTCTTATGCAATTTCTCCATTATATCTATCTCTTTTTTCTCATAATCTTAATCATATTCCTCATAATCTTAATTCTTCATTATTTTTTTACAATTATTAACTATAATTATAATTATATATTTTATTTTAACATTATATTTTTTACACTTTCTATTTTCTTATTATACTCAACCAGCAAGCTTTTTCACCTAATTTTATTTATCATTCAATTTTTATTAATAATATCTTATCCTCAACCTTTTGCTCATATTTTATTTTATGATAAAATGAAAATAGAGCAAAAATATATTATTAGAAAAAATTCACTCTTTACAAGGATAAGAACATACAGAGATTGAAATAATTATCAAATATGCAAACTAAGAACTTAGTTTACGTTAACTATAATTTTTATATAAAAATAACGAAAAATTTTATTTTGCAATTCTTTAATTTGGGAGGATAGTGCCATTTTACTTCTCATTTAATTGAATCAAGATAATAACAATAATTAAACAATTCAGGTTGAAGGTTTAAGATATGAATTGAGAGATATTTTAATTACTACAAATAAAATGCTGTAAAAAGTTGATTTAATTAATGATGGACCAAATTTAAGATTCAAATTTTAATAATTCAATTAAACATATGGTACAATATTCCAATATGAAAATTTTTATTTAGAGTAAACTCTACATTTAAGAATAGAAAAGTAAAATTATTATAGGAATTATTATTTGAAAAATAGTTTTCTTGAACATTTGCCTAATAATAAATTTATAGAAAATGGTTTTGATTTAAAAAAAAAAATCAATATTCTTTTTAAAGTTGTTTACTTTTATTAAATAAAAAAAAAATTTATTGAATGTTATTAAGTAAAAGCGAAAGATTTCATTATTTTTTAACTGATTCTGAATGAAAAACTTCTACAAAGTTTACTAAGAAAATACAAATATATAGAAATCAGAAAATAGAATAAAAATTGTAATAAAAAAGTTTATTACTAAACAAATATTAATGAATTAAACTTTAACCTCTCTGTTAATTTAAAAAGAATCAAATAGAAAATTATTCGTATAAAGTAACAATTTACAAAGGTAAAGTTTTAGTCAAAGAATTAAATTTACAAATTTAGACTATAAATTTATTCAACAAATATATGATCTCAGGTATTTGTAATATGAAATTTAACAAAAAAATTATTGAAATCTTCCACAACATTAATTCTTGTCTTGTATCAAATTTTTTTACTTTTAATAATAATTTGATGTAGGAAATGGTGAAGATCTTAATTATTTTCAAAATTCAAAGAAGAGCTAGATTTCTTTAATTTATTTAGCGTCATTACATTTTAAATTAAAATATTCTATAAAGAATTTCTGTTGCCTGTATCATAAAACAGATATAGAGGTTTTTAAAAAATATCCTAAACATCACAACATTATACCTCTAAAAAAATTAAAATAATTCAAAGATTTTATAGATACAAATTAGTTAAAGCCTACTTTGAATTAATAAATTAAAAAAAGTATGATATCAATTTCAAATATAGTATTTACATTTTTGGAACATAAGTTCTCGGGCTTTTGCTAAAGCACTTTTACATTTAGTAATAATTACAAATGAAAGAATATTCTTTAAAAAATTTAATGAATTAGAATTTTAAAATAAATTTGAGAGATATTTATATTGATAACTTTTTAATGATATTATATTGAAAAAAATTTGTTTTTTTTAAAAGCTATATTTATTAATTATTAAGATTTATCGAATAACGATTTATTCTTAAATTTTAAAAGAATTTATATTGAATCAAATAACCGCTTGAAAAATTAATTGAAAGCTTCTTTTTTCTTCTTCTTTTTAACACAATTTTTTGTGATTTATTAAAATATCATTATAATCAATTTAATGAAAATTGCCTGCAAACCTGAAATCAAAATATAAATTTAAGAGAAACCTAAAAGGATTTTATTTTGTTCATAAATTAAATAGCTGTAATCCTATAGATAAAATAGTAAGGAAAATGTAAATGAAATTATTGAAATTTTTAAGATGATAAATTATTAAGTAAATCATATTTGCTGTCATTAAATCAATTGATTATTTTGAAAACATATNATATTTTGTAAATTCCAAACTATATTAACAACTTTTATTTGTTTTATGCTATGAAGATAATTCATAATTTAAAAACATTTTTTTTAATAATTAAAGATAATTTATATGCTTAGAATATAATTTAAAATGATATATTGTTTGCTAAATAACAATTTATAAAAATATTGAGTTTGTCTTCATAGAAAATTAAAATCTATTTAAAACATTATTGTAAAAATAAAAAAATTATTAATCAAAAGCCTCATCTTTATGTTTATTGAAAACTTGATTTCAAACTATCCTATGGTATATAACGTATTGCAAATTGTGGACATGCCTTAAGGGATTTGGATTTTTTAAACAGGGAATCAATTTTATAATCCAAATTACCTGATGGACACACTGGACTGTTGAGAGAATTCATACCACTCTTTTGTTCGTTTTTTTCCTATATAGCATCTTGACTATTTTATAATTCATCTTTGATTCTAGCAGGTATTTCTAAATTATTTAATCTAAATATTAATTATTAATTACTTTTTAAACTCTAATATTTTTCTAGCTTAAACTATGAGATAAGCTCGTATTTTTCTAAACCTTCCTCTAATTCTATCCTATTATTTCTTTCTACTTTCAAACAACTAAATTATGAATGGATGCCTTCTAACAGTATTTGGAAAATGACTAATAATAAATTCCTTAACTTAATCTATTTGATCATGCAATTTAACAAAATATGCAAACAATATTTTAATAAGCATTTAAACAACAAATAGAGCATTCAGTATACCAATAATTATATAAAAAGGCCAGACAATCTCCTATAAATTTGATTATTAAGCTGTATATATAGAGCTACCTAAAATGATTGAAATTGCACATACTATAGTTGATTAAGTATCTAAATAATTAAGATCCCCTGTCATGTAAGGTTTTTTAGCAGTAGTTAGAAAACTGTATCCAAATAATACTAAAAATACAAGAGAAGCTTTAATAGCAATGTAATCCTCATAATATGCTAATACAATAATGATTGATTCTTTTTTTAGGATTTTAATTGTTTCCCAATAGTAAGCGTGTTGTTTATATTCATTATAAAGGTAACCCCAAATTTACCTCACTTTAGTGATGTCTAATCTATGTTTATTTTTTCTTACTCCATACCAAAAATAAGTAGGCATTACAATTCCAAAGAAAAACAATAATGGAAAGCAAAAAGACAATAACCATTTAAAATGCTAATCTGTATCATAACGATAGGCAACATTGCCTTAAATCCAATATTCATCTGAAATTATTCTATAAGAAACTAAGGAGATTAATCCTCCAATTAAATTTGGTTGTAAATATATAAAAACATAAATAAGTGCTGTAGTAATATATGAAAACTTAAATTTGATTGAATTAGTAATAATTGCCATCCCTCCTAAAGAAAAGAATACTGTAATATATGATGATGCCATCAGAAGACTCCAAATAATTCTAAAATAAATGATGAGAATATCTGAAATATTAATTAGGTAGCAATCTAAAGAGTATGCCATAGATTCAATAGGATTACCAACACTGTTAACTATTGATGCTAGGCCAGAAGGAACCTGTAATTAGAATGTGGCAATTGTTGAAATGATTTATAAATAATTAGTAAAGACTTTAATTAATATAGCAGTAGAGGCTTATTTAATGACAACAGTAACTCCAAATGCTTTCAATCGAATACCCACTATAAATTCTTCAATCATTTAAACAGTACTAGTTACTGACATCAAAATAGAAATAAGTGTCCAAATACTTATAAAAAACACAGTCAAGACGTTTCCAATTATTGAATCACAATTTCCACAAGAATAAGAAGAACTAACAGAAAAAGATCCCTCCCCTCTGGTATCATATAAGTCACATTATTCACATAAGGCACCAACATGCCCTAAAATACATGATTTATCTCCTGGAGACCATCCACCTTAACAATTTTCAACTAAATGATAACAATGTTCAATAGTTTGACTATAATAGTAAGCTCTCCAATAATTCTCTTTTAATTCAATCATGGAAGATTCTATTGATTTTATTTTTTAGTCATCTTTATAACTGCAACTTTAAGCACTCCACTAAACTTAGTATTAATTTTAAATAATATCACACAATGTACAAGCTCCAGAAGTTGTATTAAGAAATTCTCCCAATTAACATTAGAAAGTTTTGATATCTACTTACAAATTATAATTTGTTAAATAATTCTTTATTAAATAAGGAGCAGTATCTTAGTATTCTGGAATTGATATAATATCACATTAGATATTCAACCTTAAAATGATGTCATCTTCATATGTTGGATTAAAGTAGATCGTTAAATCATCTAAATTATAATCTCCACTTAGATCATTAAATTTAACTTTACTATAAGATAAACTTGCAATTAATTCTTATTTAATTTCTTCATTTGTAAAATTCAATATTGTTGGTGTGATTGTGCAAGTAGATCCTGTTAATTTTTTTTCCTGAGTGTTATATTTGTTCAAAGCAATAATTCTAAAGGTTAGATTATAAGGTATGAATTCTGAAGTATATTAGTCAAAAAATTAATAAGTTGAAATTGTTCTTCCTGATGGAAATGTTAAAAATTTAGCTTTTTTTGATTAACCAAATATCTTATATGGAGTCACTATTATTCTCTCAGTTATTGTGCTTACATCTTTTTTTACTATTATTTTCTTTAGAAAGGTCTGTCCTCCATCTACAGATATTGTCAATGATCTTGGATTCTCAAAAACATCTGATCCAAAAAGAGTCGAATTGTTATTTGATAAAAATACATCTAATTACATAGTTTTTTGAAGTTGTTATTTATTTAAATATAAACCTCCAGCTATTTAGGCTGAATTATCAATGATTTCACTATCAAATATAAGTAGAGAAGACGAATTTGAAAAATAATATATAGCTCCGCCAAAATATGCCTTATTTTTCTAAAATAAACACTTATAAAATATTGTTTTTGTCTAAACTATAAAAATAGAACCACCATATATAGCATTATTATTAACAAATTTACTATTCTTTATTATGGCTTAATGATCTAATTTCTCTATTAATTAGGTATATTCATGTTTTTGAAGCTATCTTCGATTATTAATTTAATGCAAATCTCTTCTTAAAAATGGCTCGTCTACTGATTATATTAATGAAAGACATCCTGTTTAACCACATTCACTATCAAAAATCTTAACCTAATTTAACAAAATATTCTGGATAGCTGTTTCGAATATACTCTTAATCCTGAATATGCCATACTAGCAAGATTTGCACTATATAGAATTAAAGTTCAATTCTTCAACTTGAAGAAAATGAGATAAACTCAAGTTATCTATTTCAAACAAACTAAAATTATAAGTAGTATTTTTATAGACTTAATTTAAATTACACATTTATTAATATTCTAATTAAAGGGATGTATTATAATCTTCTATAATCGGATCTATTTCTGGATTGCCTACTTTACAGGTTAAAGATTAAATTGTTAAAAATGTTGAAATCAAACACTCTGAATCGGAATAGTTAAAATATTACTCAACGTTATTTACTTTAATATTGATCAATAAAATATTTCCACTCCCTTCTATTTAATATTAATAAAATATTACATTATCTTAAACTTAATCGCATTAAAGGGGAAAATAAGATTGTTGAATTAGTAATGGTTATATCTTTTAATAAAATTTTGGTAGCTGATTCAATATCTAATAAAAATTGAATATAGGTTGAAACGAAGCTACAATTTACAATATTTACAGTTCCATATTTGATTTTAATTAAAGGGTTGTTATTTCTAATTGAATCTAAGTCGTCCTCAGTCGGAGATTCTAGAAGTGACAAATATTTCATAAAACCTGCTTACGTAACAATAAATTAAATTCCATTAAACTAAACATTCGAATTTATGCTCTGTAGATTTTATAACAAATAGGATAAAAAGCTATATCTAATTGAAAAACAATTTTTAATGGTTAAATTTTATAGATTAATTTAATTTTATTATTATGAAGGAATAATATAAAGGCCA